ATATTTTATTTTGCATTTGTGGTTACTTAATGTCCTTTCTAAAGATTCGAATTGTGTCTTTGATCAAACGAGCCCGCCACTTTCCCGTGAACGTCCGTACGAAGTTTAGCCACTCTTGGCTTCTGGGCAATGTATTTCTTTGCGGGGGATTCAGTGTGCTTGCGGATGTCGTTTCGCAAAGTCTTGAGCAAAAAGGTAGATTCTCACTCCAATTTCGTTTCATTTTCCACACCATAAACCCTGCTTTAGCTTCGAAAATTTCCCCAACTTCCTCTAGGTTTTAAGATGCACCATTTATTACGGAACCCCTCGTCCCACATTAGCAAACATCATTTTTCATTTGCATTTTTGCATTTTTCTGTGCGTTAATTATTTCTTGTGCCCCAGCACGACTGACAGCATATAGCTGACCTGTATGCATTAATACATACATTATTATTAATGACTACGCTGATAGTAGCACAGTCAATCTTCCATGTAGAAATTCCCTATCACGATCCCACATCGCACTTAGTATTGCAGTTTGCTACAAACAGCACCGTGTACTCCTGATACTGCCGGCAGCAACATCACAGACGATACTATAACCACGATGTCACTTTGTGATAAAGCACTTCTGCAAGAGATCGGTTATTATTCCATCGAGGAAGGCCGTCCCACTACCTGCACGTCTACAGCTGGCGGTTAACTATTCTAAGGCGAGAAAGATCATGCGTAAAAATTCCTGGTGGACACATCGTGAACCGCGTAACTGCTTCACAGTATATGTAACTTGTCTTAGGAAACATCGGTGTTCCGCGCTGACTGGCTCTTAGAGTATGGCGGGATTTCAACAGTCGTTAGAAGAAGTTGAACCATGCAATCCAGTACTTAGGCTATTTAATATTGCCCGTCATGACCCGCAATTTTGGAGACAATTATACTAGTGTTTATAGCAGACCCAGTCCAGGATCCGAGCCCGCACGATGTTTAGCTGTTTCAGAATCTTTTGCCCCAGTTCAACCGGGGAATTTGTACTCCCTAAGCATCCTGTTTGGCGAAATTTCTGCACTTACCAGAAATGCAGCCCAAGGCCGATGCAAAAAACTTTCCAGAACGCTAGTAAGGAGATTTATCCCTTGATAAGGACCTACACATGAGCGTCCAAGAGCTAAGAGCCATTCGCCCATCGATTATTCGTGCTGCCATCATTGAATCATTGGTAGACATTCCACCATTTGGCATTCGGCTGAGGAACTTCTCGACTATCATAGCCGCTGCCTGACTGGGTCTCGGCTTTTTTCGAGGGAGTGTCAGTTAATGAGTCCGTCTTTCTCGGCGATCGGTCTAAAAAGGAAGTCCTGAAAATGCTTGAGGAATGTCCCGTTGATTTCCTGTTTTTGTTCAACATAAAACTCGTCAAATCATTGGGAAATTTGGTGGGGTCGGCATTTAACCCTACGTTAGGTAAACGGGGACGTAAACGCCTCATGTTAATATAATTTTGCCGCAGATGAAATGAATAGAGTTCGCTGATGGCGGTTGCCCGCTTGTTATGAAGTTGAACACTGACTGATGGTCGGTTTCCAGTTCAGATGTCCAAAGTTACTTTGAATTAACCAAGGACGCTTTTTAAACTGCGTGGCGTTGTGAATACGAGCCGATTGTATGATTTGTACGGTAGAGAAAACTTTTAGTTCAGGACGAATGGAGGCAGTCCGTTGAGATATCTGGATTATTTTCTCCCTATTATAGCTTCGAAAGGCAAATTGAATCTCGAGTGGATAAGAACCGCTGCGTTTGGATGCACTTCCCTGCTTTTGGCACCATCCGTCCACTACTGGTATTTGTTACTGGACAAGACTTTGTTAGGAAACAGCGGATCAATTCTTATTCGCAAACTTTTTTATGACGCTGTTATCTTTTCCCCTTTCTACATCGTCGCCTTTTACGCTCTTCAAAACAGTTTCGAAAGAGACTCGCCAGAAAGTTTTTTCAAAAAACTAAATGCGACCGGAATAACGCTCTGGGCCAGTGAATCAGTTTTGTGGCTCCCGGTGCAATATGTTAACTTTCGCTTTGTCCCTCTAGTGTACAGAGTTTCCTACGACAATTTCGTTTCTTTTTGCTTTGATGTTTTCTACTCCTATATGTATCATATTCCAAACCCCCCTTCCCTGCCTGACCCTGCCTGCTGTTCGCGGCTTTCCCCTGTACAATTAACTGAATGAATAGACCTGGTTCTTAAGATTATTGCGCTGGGTCGGAGTATAGTGCTGAATGTAGTTCATGCAATTGAAGTCGAGCGGTCGGTGAGGCTTCGAGTTTGAGGCGGTTTTTTCATTACCTACCCGCTGCACTGTCCGACTTGCCTTTTTCGCTGGGGTATTGCAGACCTTTCTTCAATAAGTAAGTTTCATGGGGCAGATCGATGCGTGGTCCTGAAACTGTCAACGCCCGTAGGTCAAACCATGCCTTTGTTCAAGCGTCTGCATTTTTACCTCTCTTGGTCTCTCGAATTGTGTAATTGTTGTATAACTCTGACAACCTGGCATGGAGAAGGCTCTGAGCACACAATTTGTACCCGGATACCGACTGACCGCGACTTCGTTGACGATTCCACCCTACTGACCAAAAAGTTACGATTTCCTACAAAACGAAGTTCTACGGTTGAATGAAGTCGTTTAATCGGTCGGTTTATCTATTGGCGCTAAGCAGAATCGAGCTTATTCGACCTGTGCTCAACCAAATGGTGTTAATGGCTGTAAGCTTGAAGTCAAAATTGGTGCCAAATAGGTGGAATGAGAGCAACGTCGTTTTAGCTATCTTTGATAAGTGTCAGTACTCGGCGCAGTATCTTTGTAAGTATAGAGATCCACGTATACCGGACATCCATCCTGTGAGTTTTCGTTTGTGGTTGTAAATTCTGTGTTGCGCACGTGGAAGATGGTTTAAATCTGGGAGTCTTTGACCAGTACTGCTTGAAAACCACCCCTTAAATCAAGTACATTGGTTTCGTTTCGGACATGACTGTCGCGATCGCTGTGACGACGTTGCTGGGATATCTTGAACCACTCAATGAAGATAATTGATGTTGTTTGGGCGCGTTCTTCGTCCATCTCACGATCTTAACGTTGCTACCGTCGACCTGGCAGCGCTGTCTGCCTGAAGGCTGCCAAGGGGAGGTCAAATCGACACGGTTTTCCAACACAGAAGGGTTTCTTGGACCTTCTGTATTCGGTCGCGATCGCCGAAGGAGAAAATGTGTCCAACTCTATGGATCCGCCTCCGCAGGTTGCCACGCGTGGATAGTTGTAATTTGCGACATCATCGAGACTGGATAGATCAGGCATGATCGCAACCGCATCAAATAACTGGACCCGTTGGTACAGCGAGACATGTGACGAACTAATTTTGACCCTCAGCACACTAGGTATGAGTATAGTCATAATAAGCTTTACCGGACGCGTCTGCGATGGACCGTTTGGATGCAGTTTGCTCATAACTTTTTACCGCTGTTGTTCATCAAAAAATCAGTTCCGCAAAAGCAAGCCTTGATATATAATGCCGGCTAATGCTTTCAATTGACGGACCGTGCGTGGTGCGTCCTGATTTTCAAAGATCCAAGCTGCACAGCACCGCCTTCAGCGGACACTGTCACTGGAACCAATGTTGGCGGAACAAAACACCGAAATTGGGACGAGACCTTACTGTTGGCGACATAAGAAAACATTTTCAGCTTTATCGGCATTTGTTTGACAACAACTCGGCGGTCAATAAAATATGAAGTCAGAGCTCCTTATCGCGTAACCAACTGTACGCTTGCCACGCCGACAAGAACACTTTTTCATGCATAATCAGGAATTTATTGATGCGTCTAGCACGTATATATTTCATCTCCCCTCACAGAGCGCTGCGCATGTTTTGCGGACATTCGAAATCGCAGATACGTGGATGAGGATGGCCTTTCAGCCAAAGTTTGCGTGAAATGTTCTGATGTTTTCATCGGTATTTTGAGAGGATATTTCATCGACCATACCTCACAGCTTCGAAGCTGTGTCGTTATGCCTTTCTTATCCTGGAAAGAAGGCGAAACGGGATTTCGAAACTACGGAAGCACCAGCCTAGTCAACATCGTCACAAGGGTTGTCTCGATTATCCGTTTGGATCTTTCAGCACTATCAGAGGTGCGCGTACAAGAGCAGGGCGATGTTTGCCCTGAAGAACGTCAAACAAATGATAGTTCGACCGTCGTTGCCGACGATGTCCACCGTGCGCTCCGCAACAGGGCGAAGCAGGCACAGTGTCTTACGCTTGATTTAGTTTATAGTGAATGTAGATTTGCGCTGCATCTACCGCATTCCCTCCTCCTCCCCCACCTGGACCCGGTTTCAAGACAGAGTCAAGAAGACCGGAGGCGGGAGAGGGCTCGGGTGGATGGCACGGTCGAGCCCGCACCTTGGCGATCCGCTCGGCATCCCCTGATCCACACAGCAAATGACCCGGATTTTAACCAGCAACCGAAGGAGCTGGCGCGGCCGAGGCCACACCTGGGCGTGCCGGTAACCTATCTCGGATCCCACGGAGTGAGGGTGCCATATGGCCACATTAAGATGGTGCCATTGAAGTCTGACACTCAGCCCAGCAGTCGACCGCGCCGCATAAACACAACACTGGACCGACAGCGAGGTCGAAGTTATCTCGTCAGTTGGCAAGTTTTCAAGCCACGGCTTTTAGTGCACCATGATAGCTTCAAGCGCGTCAGGTTGTTTATAGTGAGGAAAGTGCGCTCAGTCGTCGACCTTACTCTCCGTTCTCGCTCCCAAACCCCACCTACTATCCGAGCCGGCCTTGAGAGCTGCTCAAACGTCCTGAGTCTCCCGCATTCGCTGTTGCACCAAGCGGCGACTATGGTGGAAGGCTGCGTTGTTGTTGTCGCCTGTGCGGCGGTTGACGTAGGCTTTCCGCGGGCGGTTCTTCTCGGCGAGTAGGTTGCTGATGGCGGCGTCATCGAACCAGTCTCAATGTTGGCGACGTGCGCGACCGAGGACAGCCAGGACCGTCGACTGGACTGTGTCCCGCAGTTGGCTCCATCGGTTGTCCACGGAAACGTTTTCGTCGGCAGCAGCAGCGGCGGCGACTGGATGGTTGGCTAGCCTTTGAGCTAGTTCATTGCTGAAATGGAGATGGTGAGCAGGCAAGGACAACAAAGCAGTATTCAGCCTACGTGGTGGTAGCTTTCCTTGAGGTCTCCTGCGAGGCTGTAGGCGAATCCTAATCTTGGAGATGACGGGACGATGATCGGTCCACCCGCCGGCACCCTGGATCGCCTTATTCACTAGCACATCTCGCCGGTCTCGACCTCGAACGAAAACGTGCTTCAGCGGCTGTCAGCGCCGCGATCAGGGGTGCATCCAGGTCGCCTTTGTCCACATCGTTGAAGGAGCAGGCCATTGCCATTGGAGCCGTTGAGACCATGAGACCCAGAACTTCTCTCCAGGAATCATGGGCTGTGCCGACGCGGACGCTGAAGTCACCAAGGACGATCAGTGTGTCCGCCTCCGGCACAGTCTCCTATAGGGCGTGCAGGTCCTCGTAGAATTCGTCCCTTTCAACGTCAGGGCTGGTCATCGGGAGGGCGTAGACGTTGACGATGGTGGCGAATTTGCCCCCCTCCCCGAAGAGGCAGGCGGAGGCTCATCAGGCGATCATGGATGCCCTGTGGCAGACAGGGTAGTCCTCCCACGATGGTGTTTCCGGATAGAAAAGGCCATGCCCGCGTCCCATCGCTCTGCCCTGGGGCGACCGCTCCAGAAGAAGGTGTAGCCGTCACCAACCTCCTCTAGTTAGCCTTATTCGGAGAAGCGGGTCTCGCCGAGTGTGGCGATGTTCACCTTGTAGCGTGCCAGTTCCCGAGCGACTAGCGTCGTCCTTCGTTGCCATCCACTGCTCGTCGGATTTTCTAGAAGGGAGCGAGAATTCTAAACTACCAGATGGTACCATCTCATCCTGGCAGCCTGTGAGTATGGGCGGAGATGAGAGGGACTACTGTGGTTGCTCGTTGCCATCTTGGACCGCTAAATTTGCAGCTATGTGCCATGGCCTACTAGCAGACGGCGTGGTTTAGCAGCATTTTAGTGTACCTCTCCTAGTCATTCCCCTGCCAGTGGGTATGAAGTACTACCCCTACATACGGCTCCTGAGGCATCCCAGACTGGCTGTCGAACTTCACTTTGGGCCACGGCTTTGTTTAGTGGAGAGGAGCACTAGTTAGCCCGGTCCGCATACGGCATCGCATGTCGCCCTCTCAGTAGGACTTTTAACTTAGAAGGAGAGAAGTCAGCAGACGGGGATGACAGCAGAATGACTGGGTGTAGGAACACAACACCGGGTTCCTTCGTCTGGTTTATCCCGCCGGTTGAGACGGTTACCGGGACGTGGCTATTACGCAGAGCCTGACTTCAGAGAGCCGCAGATGAAAGTAAGGTGCCTGTTAAGGACCGTGAGGAGCAGTTGCCATTTGTACGCTGCGGCCTGCCATCCATTGGCGAGGGCCATCTCACGTGACGTCCTTACGCCCCTCCCCGATGTAAGTGGCTGTGGCTATCTAAACATGATCTATCCCATCATTGCCATAGTGGCACGTCAACTAAGTGCAAAGGACCCGTTTTCGATATGACACTGTGCCACAGAACCATTGTACGGACTTACATTTTCCTACTTCACGTCGTCGTTGTGTTTAAGGACCAGTACAGTCATACTGATTTGATGGAACAACTGAGGAACTAATTGAGTGGAGATTCAAATAAGGCGAATTATGTTAATTACGTGATCGCATAGATTTGTATAAATGCAAGAGTCCTCCAATGTAGGTGGGTAAATGAACTCAGATTAGACCAAATGGCAAAGCCGTTCATTTTCGTTACTTTTCAGATATCCGGCACCTAAGTGAATTTAGTCTCTCCAAACTACATTTAGACGGACCCCTAACAGTAGTTTTAGAAGGATAAGGGACGAGAGAGAGAGAGAGAGAGAGAGCAACGAAAGGTGGTTATTTGCTTAGACAGCCAAGCGACATAATAGAACTACATCAGTCTGGACGATGACAGTGGAGTGAGTAAGAACGAACGATCCTATCAAGTCTCGCATAAAAAGGGACGGGATCTGACTCGCTAGTGTCACCATGCATAAGAATCGTAAGCTGCGTAATATCTAATTGCCTATGAGTGCCATTGATATAAGGCCGCCTAAGGCTAACCCTTTAATCATTCTGACAACCAATTCGTATTCCGGCAATACCCATTGGTCAGCAAGTTTGTTGTGGATAGGTCAACCTTCAAGAGCGCAGTTTTGTCTAACAGTATCGAATATCGCCTTATAACCCATAATTCTATCATAGCGTTTTTGCCAATATCCACACGATAAGGAATGAAACAAGGTACGATCTGGGGATGTAAAAGTACTTTGTCTTGCATTATTGAATTTATTTAGCTGTCGGAAGCGACGACTTCCACCGTCCGCCTCACGAAATGGACTCAGTACCGATGACCTGCTCGTAAAGTACTTTATAACGGGACAGCTTTGCGCGGCATCTACTGCAATATCACCTACTTGATCCCTATGAGAGGACGATGTTAGTATGACCGAAGATGAGCGTGAGCCCAGTGGTTGACAAACCGAACAGTTCGTCTGCGCATGGCACATACGACGTGGTCCCTACCTCATGCGCCAGGCTGCTGTAAGGGACGCTCGGACCTCGCATGGGTGAAAGTTCCATAAAGACTACATTAAGAAGGAACCCCTGAAGCCTGAGTCTGAGTCCTGAGAAGGACAAAATTTTTCCGTCACTTGGCAACCTCTCAGGGTACTACTCTTCGCGCTTCATGATGAACTCAAGCGCATTGACTTTCTTATGGTGAGGAGTGCGCTGGTGCGTTGTGAAGGTGGCCTCCCTCTCCTCGACTGTCCGAGCCTGTCAACTGGCGCTGGATGGGAATGGCCACAGTTGCTTGCGCGGCCTACGTCTAAGGAGTGGCATAAATATGTGCGGCAGCAGTTATAGACTCGCGCAAACGTATTGCAACCTACTAAAAGCGTGTCACAAGCCAGCCTGATTCCCGTTATGGTCCAGCGCCGAGAAAACCGCACCCAGAGTTCGACCATCGCAAACGATGGTGTGCCTCGTGTGGGCGGGGAGACGGTGCCTTTTGCGTGAAGTAGTTTTTAGGGATAGTACACTTTCGCTGCATCTACTGCGCTCTGTCCTCCATCACCTGAGCCCCGTGTCAAGACAAGGTCAAGAATATCGGATAAGAATCGGGACCAGGGACTGACAAAGTCAATTGGCCAGTCTGCGTTTGCCACATACGTCTGGTCCGCACTGGATGGGCCAGCTTTTTGTCAAAACCACCAAGGGGCTGCCTGGATCCCATCTAAATGGCAGTGCCAAAGAGCCAATGCAACCTGGCTCTCCGGCCTGCAACCTTCGAAGCTACTGCTTTTAACGTATTGTGATGATTTAACGGCACATCTGATCGTTTATAATTGGGTATATGCGCTGAAAGTCGCGGGGAGGCTGTCCTCAGAGTCGACCTCTTCCCCCTCCCAGGCACCCGTTCGCCGTTCGAGTCAATCAGCCATCTGATGCGGGAATTGGCCGCAAGAGGATGACGAGGCATGGGTCTGCGCCCAGGCGTACCACTGATCTGGCGACCAGCCTATCGTCGACGTACACAGGAACAAAACGCAGGTCTCTGTAGACGTTTTTATGAGGTCTCCGAATGTTGGGCAGATCTGCGAAGGCCATAACGCACACGAGCGTAATCGGGAAGTCCAAAAGTAGTCTTATTAGGCGGCGGCAAATTCTTTGAATGTTTTCTCTAGGTCAGTATTTGGACGATTTTATCTTGTTCGCAAGTGTGTGTGTGAAGTGCAGCAGCGGGTATCGGTGGAGTGAAGTCAATTGTTCAGACGACGGCAATTAGCACGTGGCTACGGACGCTTTACTGACTTATGGAATGCGTTTAGAGGGCAGCTTTTGAGTAAATTCGTTGGCCGCATGATGCCAGGCTCCACCATGTAGCCGAAATCAGTCTTATTTATTAGTATCTTATAGGTACATAACTTATCAGAGTGACTCCCGACCGGCGTTCTAGTAATGAGTACATAGTGTATGGTAAAGCACTTGACAGACTGATTAAACTGTGAGGTTGGCAAAGTTGAGAGATCCGGGTTGATTGTTTGAAGAAGATGGGCTCACCGGAGCAGGTTTATTTAGATGCTGACGTTTCGAAGAGCTTGGTCGGCTCTCCAACGTCAAAGCGCAAAATGCACTTAACCGCCCAGAAATCCCAAGTGGCGTGTCACGTTGATCGGCCTCGTGCTGATCGATTTTCCCTCTCCTCTCGCTGCGTCGGCCTCCCGGGGGATGGTTGACGGGCCTTTTGCCTGCGTGCGTTGTGAGTCACCACTCCGTCGGGGGAGGTGACTGAACCAGTGTCGGGTGGGTCGGTCTGGCGGTTCTTGTTATTCTTCTGGTCGATTAAGTGCATTTTACGCTTTGCCAATGGAGAGCCGACCAAGCTCTTCGAAACGTCAGCATCTAAATAAACTTCTTCCGGTGAGCCCATCTTCTTCTCCTTCTTTTCTTCTTCTTCTTCTTCTTCTTCTTCTTCTTCTTCTTCTTCTTCTTCTTCTTCTTCTTCTTCTTCTTCTTCTTCTTCTTCTTCCTCTTCTTCTTCTTCTTCTTCTTCTTCTTCAACTAAACTGAGGAGTGGCTCGTGTTTAAAAATTCCAAAAGCAGACTACGATAGGATCTACATAATGCGATTGCGGAAGTGGTTTAGGGGTCAAATAGCAAGTCGGACAGAAAACGCGTTGCTTAATAAATAGGTTAGTCCGTAAGTCTTGATATCAACCAGCGCGCCGAAAAGGATAAAATCTGGAGAAAGGGTGCTGGTCTAAACGTAAGGGGTGATTAGTAGTGAATTAGAAGGAGGTCGTTAACTCTGATCTACGGTAAGTCCGGCCAACCGAAGCGTCTTCACGGTCGTCAGCGCCGTCGCTTGCTAATGTCGCCTCCGGTCCGCCTACGCGCGTGACTTAACCCCCGGCTTGCGATACCAGTTGACATTTTTTGCCTCACCGATTGGGCACAGCTGGACAAAGTTCAGGCGCATGCATATAGGCTGACACTTGGTTGGTGAGAACGATAACTGTGAATGCTTGTGGTGCTGATTGTTCATATAACTGTCTTCTGATTTGGGAACCTTCAATTTGTCGACCATCGCATCTCGACACTTTCGAAAAAAATTAGTTGGGCTTCTGCAGTGGGTATTTGATAAGATATTACAAAATGCTCTGCTCTGTCAAACAACTTTCCTTCCCCGTATTACGTAAGTGGTCTTGTTTGTCAGCGAATACATCTTTTCAAAGCACCACGAGCCAGTCGCAAGCTCATTCAGCTACATGCAGCGGTCTGCGGTTTATAAGCAGGGACTTTTGTTCTGCAATATTACTGTCTTTCTGATGACAATAAGAGCCGTTGAGCGTCAAGGAGTTTCCATTGCCAGTAAACACTTGACTGTATTATGTACAATACTTATCATCAAGAAGAGACTCCCTTCTTATTTTGCAGTCATCAGAACTACTTTCTCAAGGCAAATCTTGAAAGCTGATACCGAAGTAGGGTGTTCTGAGAAAACCTGGCCGGGCTATATTTTCTTGCCATCCATTGTGTCTGCTTGGAATATGTAGAGCTCAATTACTGACAATCTCATACTCAAATTCCTCATGGCGGATGTGGCGTTGGATGTAGTCCGTTGACAGTGACGAGTCAGAAGTGGTCGTTGTAATCTCCCTTGTTCCGGTCGGCGGCGCTTATCGATTATCGATTGCTCGTCGTTACGCTACCGCATACGTAAGCCTTTGACTTGGGACTTCGAAGCGGATTGCCATCCTCACCCTATACCCAGGTAAGCTACATAGTGGGATTGTTTTTGTTGAAAATAGTGCGAAATGGCAGTATTAGCCGCCAGTAAAACTAACAAACCCGATGAGGATTTTCCAAAAAGATGCTTGCCGAGCCGTGTACTAATGGGGACCTTTAGCATCAAAATGCCATACATCAGTGGCAAAAAAGCGTTCAAGCATAATGGTCCAAGGTCCACCAAGAGACTGTCTCTCGTAACTGGTGACTTCAGCAACTGGCGCAGATTCTCGTTTTCCTCTGGAAGTCTGTGGATTGTTGTCGGCCTTTGAGTGTCCTTAACCAGCAGGAACAAAGGACGAGTTAATTTATGGTATGGAAAGGGAATAACCATGCTCGCACATCAAAGCAGAGGAATGTCCTTGGCTGAGTTGAAGGGAGGAATGCCAGTTCTCCAAAACCTCTTATAAATTGAAAACAGGCCAGAAATTTCGCTCGACAGACAGCACCGAGGAGGAGCTTAGAAAGGTCCAGAACTTGCTTCGTGGAAACCGGTATGCTGGTAGTTTTATGGCAAAGAATATTGCGGAACGACCAGGAACGTCTACCATACTGACTGCCGAAAAGAAGACTCTTCCCCTTCAAGAAGGCCCTGCGAGTGAACTAAGAGGACGTCTTGACCCTACTGTAACGAACCTTCACAGCAGCGAGGGTCCGAATATTATCCTCCAGTATCCCTATTTTATGCAGAGAAGATAATGACAGGCTGTCATCTCAGACTATTTCTCTGCGAATACATCTAATTCTTTACTTGCTCCTGTAGAGCAGGTTATATTGGTTGCACGCGTCGGTGCCTATCCAGAAAAGTACGAGAAGACCTTCCGACATGGCTGGGAAAAGGCGAAACCAGGAGTATAAACGATGCCATTCTCGCGCATGCTGTCAGTTTGAGAGATCGTGTGATTTATAAGGTCCTTTGCGCTACGATAAGATACTGGGTCAGCGTCTGTTAGCAACAGCAGAAGCCGCCGCGATCAGGTTACGGAAGCCGGCCTGGTGCTTGTTGAGGAACCTCGGGCTAATACCTACTCAAATAGCCATAGTAGGTATTCTTTCTAGGCAACAGATGTTTGGGAGCCCTCTCCCGATTGTTACCGGAACCTCGTTCGGGCTCACCGCCTTCCCCGTTCAAAGGTCGACTACCTACATGCAACTCTCCACCGTCTTCCGCTCCCACATCGCCTGTGGTTTCAAAACGAATTTTAATCGATTTTTCTAATCACTGATATGTTCGACTTGTACCCCAATCCCATATAATTGTGCTGCCCTGCTGTGAATTTATAGAAGGCAAACGTAGCCTCGCCAAGTGGTCTTCTGAAATAGAAAAGCCCCCATCTATAGAGGCCAAATTGATACAACGCGCTACAAGTCGTAGACTTGGCGGCGGCGCCCTCATCGAGGTCACTGGTGTCGGCATCACAGGGGGAGGGGGTGGGTGTTTACGATGGCAAGTTCTACTCCCCCCACCCCCTGCCGTGACGCCCCCTGCGGAGCCGAGCAAAAGGGGCTGGGTGTTTAATCGCATTTGGGTCAAGTTGCCCGCCCAACCAACTGCAACGTATGGGATCCACCAAATCTAATACAATAAGCCACTCTCTTGCCCCACTGCTGCCACAGGCATCTGCGTCAGGCCCACTTTCTTCGCGTATCACAGAAGCGCATGAGAGAAGTTACTGAGAGGAAATACGGAAGAATGGAATGATAATATCTGCACTACTTTCAGTCGCTTTTGCGTTGGCGGTTGATGACAATAAAAATCCAAAAGCGACCACTCCTAAACTAATAATAATAATAATTGTATTTAATGCCGGTTTGTGGGCATTGTCAAATAAGGCAGAGTACGGGTCGAGCTAATGGCGAAAAAACTCCCGAAGAAGTAAATGTAGTTCGTAGTTTTTCGGTAGCTCAGGAGAAGAATGAATAGCAGCTCACGAAACGAAGTCAGTCAATAAAGTGATTGGTTAACATTGTGTCAGATGTTTTAATTCACCATCCCTCTTCATGGAATTTCGACTTCACCAAACAAGACGCACGAATGAATGATTGCTAGCTATTGACTGCGGAAATTACCGCTGGGTGGCTGACTGCAGAGTAACTGCCATTTCCCACAAGTTGAGGCCGGACAGAAGGATCAGAGACCACGAACACCCTCACTACGGAACATTAATTCGGTGGGTTCAGCACCCAAGATGGTGGGTTTTTCTGAGTGCAGAAGACGAGTAATAGTTCTCTTAGACAAAGAATAATTTTGCAGAATTAGCGTATTCCGGGGTAAATCGCTTCAAATTGCAATTGTGTTCACAGAAAAGAAATGACAATATCAAAATGGACGTGCCAGAGGAAGAAGAAAGAATACCTCGCGGTGAATATCGGGTCGAGGATAGTCAAGATGCTTCAAATTAATAAACTGACTAAATGTACGACAGCGTAAAATCTGAAGCAGGGAAAAGAACCCATTTTTAATCGGTGTGACCAGAAGGGATCAAGGTTTGCACGTCCCCAACGTTCTTCGTACACCAGCATTCGGCGTTCCAAGGTTAAAACTCTTTAGATGAAAAGTGTTGGGCGTATTCTACTTTCTTCCGCTCAGCAGCGCGTAGGAGACCAAATAAAAGCGAACAGTACTTCTGGCCAGGTCTAACGTACACCTTACAAAGACGGATTCTAATGTCACTAGTTTTAAATTTTCGGAAAATAAACTCGACCATTCTTGTTTTTGTCGTTGATAATTCTCGATCGTTAAATATTGGCTTACGTCAGAAAGTGGCTACTGTCCAGCTGCCTTCGTCAGCTGTTGGTCCTTGTGTTACTGGCCACAGGCCTCAGCACCCTTACGTGGATGTGAGGAACTCAGTCCTTAAAGAACAGCGGTAATTTCCCGGTAATTGTGGTTCACCGTGAAAGGCCGTGTACGTTTTCGTGGTTGTCGATGCTGGCATCTAATGGTGATTCAAGCCAGACAACGCGCACGCATTCGGATTGTTGGGCAAGCCCAAACAAATACTCAGCGAGGCCTATGTTAGCTTCACTAACTGATGCTTTATTTGGCCTTTCTATTCACATCCCCGTCATTGACTCATTTTTTGCGACTGACTGCACCCCGGGGTGCTTGATTGATGAGTGAATTCGCCCAAGATGCATACGGACTTCTAAGTCTACTTTCTGTTGGAGATTACTATTTCCAAGCTTTTAATTTATCTAAGACTTCCTGAATTACGGCGCCTTTTACGTTTCGCCACCTTCCGTATTCCATTGATATTTTGGCAGATTTTGACTAATTGATATTGTTTTAAAAATTTGAAGCATTTTGTCCCCGGTACGAAGCTGAAGTAGGCAAGAACGGCACGAACAACTCGGACATTGCGTTACCTGGAGGCAGCCTTTATACGACGAGTGAAACCAGATCTTTGTAAACAATTGGAGCACGTGGTTAACCTAACATTACCATGGTAGCCTCTAGCTCCATGATTCTCCCTCTCTCCTCTCATTTTTGCTCTTTAACTTTTCCCCTTTTTTCACTTTCTTCCCCTACCGGCGTTTGTGTTACTAACTTTATCGATTAGCCAACTTTGCCCAAAACCCTAACCTTGTTGTTTCTGCATTGATTTTCTGCACGAATTCAAATCTGTTGTATTGTTCTCACTCGTTATCCCTCTTATGAAGCGACAGGAAGCAGCTGAAGAGCAGTCGTGAAATTTTTTGGTACCAATAAATCCTGCCGTTCTTGCCTAATTCATATTGACCCAGCTGTGAAAAACTCGGCGCCTCGACGGGATTCGAACCCACGCAGTAAGGGGAAGGCTTTAGCGCAGCCAACGCCCTAACCACCTGAGCTACGAGGCCCCGCCGGACGACGCGAGTTTAATCACATTTGGGTCAAGTTACCTGCCCAACCTACTGCAACGTCTGGAATCCACCAAATCTGATACAGTAAGTTGACTGCCCAAGCAGGATTTCCTAAGTAATTCACCTAGAATCCACCAGATGACTACCAGGCTCGCGTCGTCCGGCGGGGCCTCGTAGCTCAGGTGGTTAGAGCGTTGGCTGCGCTAAAGCCTTCCCCTTACTGCGTGGGTTCGAATCCCACCGAGGCGCCGAGTTTTTCACAGCTGGGTCAATATGAACCTTCTGTATTGCTGAACCGAGTGTACGACGTGCAATGGTCCGTCTCGCGGACAGACTTACACGATTCCAGCCCCCTGGATATACTCCAGCCACTTCTTGTAATACTGAACCCGAAACTTCACATTCACAGCGAACACACAAAAGACTAGGCAAGAGTTCAGCCCCATAAACAAGTCTTTCCTACAACAGGGATCTGACTTCAGCAACTACCGACGTTTTACGGCTCTACGGTGCATGCGTCTTTCGGGCCATAGTGCTTTCCGACTGCTTTTAGCACTATTGGTTCACGCCCGTCAAAGGAAAGAGCACAACAAGAGGGCCAAAACGCTCGATTTTTCTGCTGTAAGAGCCGGTTGACCGAACAGACAAGCCGCAATGTCACATGAACAACAGTCTGGCCATGTCAGAACGTAATGACCAATCAGCAGGACCGAGACCCGAACCAGTTTTTTGCTCGCATGTGCGGGGCTCTGAGATGTGCATTCGACATGCTGTCGACGTGATACCGTGTAAATGATGAGCCCTAGAGTCTCCACACCCGACATCTCGGCTTCCCGCTACCTTACCATCCGATACCAAATGGATTCTGCGCGAAGCCGCATCTTCAGACAAAAGGACTCTAGGTTACTCTGGCTCACTCCTCTAACGTGTTTCTCCTCTCGGTATCTCCCATGCCTTCCGCCATTTCCCCACATTTTGCCCTGCGTAGGTACATATATAGTTGATCAATTCTCATAAACTACATTGCCCGGTTTTGTTGAATCCATTTGTCTATGTTTGACACGAGGGCGAAGCGTCGTTATTTGTGCTGAAGCTTTCATCACAACGGTCCCAGCAGATTTAGGGGGAAGAAAACAGCGAAAAGTTCCACATCCTAAAGCCATGAAAAGTGCCCACAAGGCTTTCGAGCGCATAAACAATGCACGCCTAATATACCATAAATAGCATCAAAGAACCGTCCAGAAGTACGAAAAAAGCGATCAACCAGTCTCGATCATTGGGCATCTTTATTAAAGGGCGATAAAGTGCAATAAGTGGAGGGTTAAAAGGCAGAGGAATCTGATGTCTTATGGAATGGTATAGAAAAATTATAGTGGTCATTTACAAGTTAAAAATCTCTGGGGGGGGGCGGTGGGGTTATATGTGCAAACTCGGCGCGTCAGACAATGGTACACCGTGAGTCGGAAAGCAGCATTAAAAAAAAGATAAGTTTCTCCCTTCCACAACGCTACGTGGGGGGCTTTTTACTCTCGCTTGGGCAGGTATCACAGCATTCAGCCGGTCTCTTTCCCAGGAGCGGCTATAAAGTGGAGAGGACAGGTAAGGAAGTGAGCAAAACAGTACGTAATGAAGTTGAGACACTGTTAGCCAAGTTTTACAAAGTAATTCAATGATATATTAGTGGTCTAAATAGCCGTTATTGCTGTCTATGGGGAAATTCTCATGTGAAACCGTTCTGATCTGACTTAATTGATCAAGTGTGTAATATAAATTCTTCACTATGACAAGCGCGCGTGAAGACCAGAAGGACCAGGAATGATGACATCCGCAGTACGTACGAACAAAAAATATACAGAATATCATGCGTACACCGTGGAGTGGTGGGAACAAGGTCCGCTAAGCTTTCAAAATTCCAAGATAATTCTGTGGAAAGTATCCTCAGAGCTCTAGCTAGTCCAGATTACGAAAAGACGATCGGTAAGGAAAACCGCGTCAGCATGGCGCAGGCAACTTAACGCAGGGGTTCAACGACGTTGTCGTTATTGTTGGTAAAGCACGCGGTGTTTTTCACAGTAAAACCGTATGAAGACAGAAACAGGACCGGCCGCACAAAATAGCTTGGTGGAGTTTAACGGCACTGTGTTTTGGATGGTAGGCCCTGTCTGCTACCCTAACTGCTGGCTTTCTGGACAGACCTCCAGTGACGGTTGCGCGCGAAGTATGAAGACTTGTGCCTGGCAAATAAGCTGTCGCAGATCGGTAGGGGCATCGCTAACAGGACGAGGAAGGTGGTGATTTGGCAAACCGACTACGATGACGATGTATCGAACATGGAACATTATCAAATAAGTTATTCATTTCACAACTGTACCACGGACGGAAGGTCCGCACAAACACTAAGCTGATAATTAGATGATCATCCTTGGACTAGGTTCCTAAGCCTCCAGCGTATGCAAGTTCCTCAACAGCGAATCTCGACTCATGCCATGGTGTCCGTGGCAGTCGACGTATCCACACCTCTACCGGTCGGCCGGGTGGCGAATGGGTAAGCCGACTTCTCCAGCGGGAACAGAACGTAAGCATCGGAAAGTGAGTAACAACACAGAACTCCAGTATGTAACACTTACATGATTTGCCAGAAGGGAAGTAGCGTCGCCGTCCGTAAAACGGGTGGGGGAGGGAATTGCATCGGTTGTGGTAGAGTTTTCGTCCAGGATCGGATTCACGTCACAGCCAGCGACGCCATTTAGCTTAACCGAGGGAGCGGCCGATAGAAGGGAGCCTTGATCGCCATCGATCAGAGTTGAGTCAAAGCCAGCGGCGGACATCAGATCAGAGACCTCCTTCCTAATCACGGGATCCGAAAGCCAGGGGTGCTCTAGGGTGGCCTTGGAACGATAATGGAGAGAGGGCTCCCGATAATGGAGTGGTTTGACCGTCAGGTAAGGATGAAGTTAGGTATTATGATACGGAAAAAAGTATGGAACTCCGAATCCGTAAGGGGAGCCCAGACTCAGTGTAGTACTTCATCTTTATTTTCATTTGAACAAACCTCAAAGATGGCGTCGTCTCAGTTGGAAAGAGCGCAAGCATACCCCGAGGTTGCGCGCTTACTAACGCATAAGTCGCAGGTATGGATTAAGGGCTCGAATCTGGATTATGCGGAAACTTGTATACCAAAATGTTACCCAAAGTGAATACGAGTCAAGAAGGAAGCAGTTGTCCTGATTTACGGTTTTCCATTTGGGGACTACGGCTCTCAGCGAAAGTTTCTTCAATAAAAGGGGTTTTTCTAGAAAGAGGAGCAGCACCGACAAGAATGAAACAAAAGGCACCACAGAGTCCCTGGCGAAAGATTAGGGTGAATAGTAATAGGACCCCTAGGAGTCCATGTTAACTACCAAAGCCCACTTAACAGAAATATCCATTTTTTCACCAATTTTGACGCGACAGATTCACAGTCTATCATTAAAACGATGGGGTATATTGTTTAGGTGGCATGGCAATATCACCGACATAAAGCCTAGAAACCTGATTTCTGGAGAGAGTTGCTTTTGAGGAAGACTGTTAATTCGTACTATATTTATAACAACTTTTGCTTGATATGAAACTGGTTAACTTCGAGTACGACGTATGGTTCTGACAGTCGGCGAGGCTGGGCAGCCTGATAGGGAAACGATGCTGCCATGGGTCTTGGGCAGAAAATCGAAAGAACTTGTTGGAGAATAGAAGAGTCAGTGTACGGATAGAGTGAGGACTACTGTGAACTCAGTCGTTCTGCTGTAACCCAGAAAAAAACAGCTTAGGAATAGAATTGGAAATGCGGGAAGGAGAGAACATTATAAGGCGGCATTAAGCGGAGTAGCAAAAGCCGTATTACACAACATGGCCTTGCTCTAACATAACACATAGATGCGGACCCAACGCACAATCACCCAGCTGCCCAGTGGTAGGTTTGAGAGCGGCGGCGTACCAGTGCCAAAAGGGGAAAGATGTGTGTAGACAAGATTCCAGTAGTACTGAATGCTAAAACGTGTGTACTGATGAGTTCATTGGTGGAGTAGGAAAGTTTCTTTAGTGCTTCTGCTACTGAGGGTCAGACGATCATACGCAGGCACCTGTCTGAAACAGCACACGACCGAGGCGGATTCAGGAAACTGGTTGCGTTTCGTGGCGTGGAGCAGGAGCTTTGATATAGGATGAACTGGAAGATTACTCCTGACGCGGATTGTAAAACAGGCAGCAGCAGTTAGGAGACGCCAACTCCCCAATCGAAGTTCATTCGCCGGCACCCGGCTAAATCTTTGAGTCCAGTGAGGCAAAATTTTACGCAGGAAGTCACAACTGCATGAGCTGCGGCTCTGAGGCCCTCCCGTAGATATCCAGCCCTCAGGCTTTGCCCGGGCAGGGGGCTTAGTCACATGACGACCATGCAGGCGAACGCTGCTTCCAATGAGAGTATCCGTGACCTCAGCTGTTGGGTAAATATCATACAAACAACCAACATTGGTAACGAAATTGCCCTAATTGACTACCCTGACGCGAAAGATGAAGCGGCCATTACACCAAACACGACCATCAGCGACGAATGCTGGGACTATTAATTTCGGCACGCATGCAGTGACAGGGACTGTGTCTTACAGAAAATGGAACCTTCGTACAGCCACTACCTTATCTGTTGCTGCTTCTGAGGACGGGTTCCAGTGTGAATTCGAAAGGTCAGGCGAATAAAATTCTCGTTCCAGCAGTCCCTCCTCCCTCTTCTCAATTGCTTCCTGGAAACTACGTCGCGTCGGAAGCTTGAATTCCGTCATTCATAGGGAAATGGGGCTGGAAGTACAAACAGCCGACTTTTAAATGAAAAACCATCTCGAAGATCACAAAACCTCCAAGTCCTAAAGACTCCTCTACTCAGGGTTGATCATCCGCGACGGGGCGTACCGGATGAAACCTCCGCGCACAAGGCGTGCTCGTTCATTTTGACAGGGAACCGACTCATACGGCGCGAGCGGGTGTGTGGACACGGAACAAACTTCTGGAATTGAGGAAGCAGCACTATATTCTGAGCTTTTGTTTGAGCAACTGGTTTGTGTGCTGAAAATTGGCGAATGCTTAGTGTCAGCCGACCCTAACCAACTACGATAAGTTCGATTTAAGATAGCTAAAAACTCGTCACTGTTCCTGGTGTGATAATGTGATTGCACAATCGGGTTGATTTGGATGCATTCCAGACGTTGGTGTTTTGGTTTAAATCACCGGCGCCCATGGAACATTGTAAGCAACAACAGAGCCACTAGACGGTCGCATGTTCCCTTAAATTGATGCAAGCTACGATGTTTCAACTAGTGTAAATAGAAAGCCATCTTAACTGCTGCTTCCTAATTATTCTAAATGCCTCGACTGGTACGTAAGCTTTCTGCCAAAAAAGTGCAGAGCCCAAATTGGCACCACAGTATTTAGAGATAGCTCCCATCGCAAGAAAAAGAAAACGCAAAGTTCATGGCTTAGAGGGGCTTCTAACTGCACGTTAAGAACCTGACTGGTATTCTGGCCTGGGGTAGGGTAAGGTCAATTCAAGTTGTCCCAAATAACTTTTAGCTGTAGTATTGGGAGGCCATCACAGAGCGAGTTCGATAACAGTACTCACGAATAGTTTATAACAGTATAAGGAAGGAAAGGAGGGTAACATAAATATAGAGGTCAAGACAACGCGCCATTAGTTTAAGTTCAACGGGGGAAATACGAAAATTAAGGAGCAAACCTTCAAAGATATCCGATTGCTCGGATTCACTGTTAAGAGCTGGCGGATGAGGTCCTTGGCCGAGTCGCTGATGCCTGACCAGAAACGCTCGGGAAAGTCGAAGTGGCCTCCAATAATTTGTTGCTGAAGTTCGAAATCTTCTCTTTCATCGGTGAATGGGGGGTATCCGACAAGGCTAGACAGAGGAAAAACGAATGTAGAGGGTTTAACCAGTGGCCTCCGAGATGACAGTTCCACCGTGTGCACCGCAGCAAGGCGGGTGCAGGACGGTGACGCGCGAATGAACTACAGTAAGTGACCGATCTCATGAAAAAATGACCGAAATTCTGACATGCGTTGTAATTCCAAGATATTTCAGTCACGCTAGCATGCTGGCTTTTGAACCCACTTCGTACCGGGCGCCCGCAAAAATCGCGCTTGGTAAAAAAATCAACTACTTAGGTAATATGCACTCTTCCATTGATATTCGATGCTCTTATAAATCCGGGAGTATTTTAGGGAAAACACTAGGAAATTCTCCCTTCTTGCACTCAGGTGGTAGGACATTATGTTTACCTTCGGTTTTAAAAAATAAAATCGATGAGATCCTGAAGGCTGAAACGTCCGTTCAAAAAGTATCCTGTCTGCCCGTTAACTAATGCTCCTTATGAAGTATACAACATAGTCCACATGCGATGCAAACTTTTGCGAGTCCTGTATGGTCTTGAAAAAGCTTCTCAATTCCCAAATAATTTTGAACCCCATCTGCCGTCGCATTTGCGTTTGTGGCTTACAGTACACAAGCTGTATACTTTTCATGTAGGAAGAATTATGCATCCCTCCATGCCATTAAAAAGATGCCAAGTGAGACTTGTGAGATTTTCCAAGGATGTATTAACAAGCGGGCAGACACGATGTTATTTGGATGGACATTTCAGTCTTAAAAAATCTCATAATGATGAACATTTCTAAAAACCGAAAGCTGTTTTCTCTTCAAGCTAAAAATTTGAACGAGACATGAGTTTTTTAGCAAATAAATATGAGGGGAAGTTTTGTGCGTGTTTTCGGTAAAATAAATTCGGATCTAGAAGGGCATCGAATATCAATGAAAAATTGCATGCAACTTAAGTAGTTTTTTTCACTCAGCGTTGCCCTTGTAGGCAGCCGGGGGGGTGACACCCAAAAGCCTACATCCTGGTGTGACGGAAATATCTGGGGATTATGCTGCATGATAATCAATATTGCAAAGCCACCTAAGTAACCCTTCCTGGTCAAAAACGCATTTAAAATTCCAGCTAACATTTCGTGAGATTAGTCACCTACTGCAGTTTATAATGATGGCTGACTTGCGTAGCATCTACCGCACTCGCTCCGCCCTTACGCTACTGTGTACGGTGGCAAGACAGGGTCAGTCCATTTACCCGGGCCGCACACACCTGGTCCGTGCAAGATGATCCAAGTTAACACAGAAAACAAAGGGTGGCTCAGTTCTCACGTTCAAGAGTGCCACAGAGGCCGCATTTGGAAGGAGTCATTGAGTCCAGTTATCCGTCCTCCAGCCAGTCCCCCACGTGCACATACAGCACTGGCCACGAGGACTGAGTTAATCCGTCAATTGGCAGCCTTCCCAGCCAAAACTTTTGGCCCATCAAGGCAATTTAAACGCGCGTCAGATTCATCACGGTAGGAAGTGCGCTGATGTACCGTGGAGAGAGAGTCCCCAGTGTCGACCCCACTTTCTTCCCTCTTTCATGCACCAGACGACTGCCTGAACCTGTCGACCAGCTGGTGATGGCGGGGAAGAGATCTGGTCTATTTACTTTGGAGTAGTTAAAGTACCAAACTGTTCACTGCACTGCGCTCCGAAATTCCGACGGTATGTGGATAGAGGTGAACCAGCGCGATGTAAAAACTTCATACCACTGAGAAGCCTTTGCTTATCAGCCTCGCTGCTGATCAACGTCCCGTACCCACAGGAAAAGTGCGTGCTAGCCTGAAGAAGTAAATGAACAAGACTAAAAAAAGTGGAGCCTGCAGCAAGGGGCAACCAACTTGCTTGTCACAAGCGTTTGGCCATTTTATTCCGCACAAGTGGCCCTTCGATTGGCTGGACGCTTGTAATTCGCGCATGGGAAAGGCGAGATCAGGAAATAGGCGAGCCTGGAAATCAGTAACTCCTGCGACCCCTCCCGCCTCCAGGTCTAAACTATCACCTCAGGTGAAGACCCATCCCAATGTATACTGAGAGGATTAGCACCGCCGCGAATCATAACAGGGGGCACGTAAAGCCCAGGAGACCTAACCGGCTCGGTAAATAAATGAAATCCAAAAAACTAGCAACAAAGCGATGTGGATCAACAAAACTGAAATAAAGGGGAGTCCTATCCCCTGCGAGAGAGACAGTCCATTCCGGAAGTTATTGCAGAAGTGTACTCGTAACGACAGTGAGGAACAAACCTTGTGAATACAAATGACGACTGCCACTGCCCGGTCGAGTTGGTTCATGAAGCATAACCACAAAGAGTAGCGGCCCCTGTGAAATTTTTTAGCGAGGAGTAGGTAATGCGGCTGACTCCTTCCGTCTCTATCATTGTAACATGCATCGGAAAGCCTTGTTTATTTGCTATGTTCGCGTAAACTTCCACCAGCTACACTTAAGAGCAGCAACGAAAAGCGTTATTAGTTCCTTCACGTAGTTGCTTAAAATTTGGGATGACTGTTGGTGATTTCCGAGTCCAACCAGGTGTTCATTTAACTGGGATGTGCTTACAGAATTGTCGGGTCCATGCTCTCGTCCAGCCTAAGTGTGGAACCTTGACCCGAAGGGAAGCGGAGGGGCACGCCGAGGGGAAAAGCCTCCTTGGATATCAGCAGCACCCGCTATACCCTATTACCCTGTGCCTTATTGTTACAGGCAAACGGTTCGGCAGATAGGTGTTCGGACGCGCCTGAAGGTATAACATTTGCACGGTCCAAAACCCCTCATTCGTCACACCCGACAGCTTACTTATCTTGTAGATAGCCTTCATTAGAGTCCGTACCATAGGCGGACGCGCCGGGTAGACCGCAGCTGGTCAAGCAGACAAGCCCGTCCTCTTAGGGTTTTTGACAGTCGGCCTGACCTCAAGATATTTGGCAATGTCCATATCTGTAAACTGACAGGCGTTAATTACAAAATGCACCTTTTGTTAACCGGAGAGGCACCTCAAAAGTCATTCGGTTTTTTGGTGCTGAAGGATAGCCCGGCTGACTCAAAGACCTTATGTATCCGACGCACAACTGGATGCCATCATAGTTTAATTCTAGAAAATCGATCCCGTCGGTGGTCTGCCGGACATCGTCCCGCGACAAGCCCGGCACTGATAAAGGTGAGTACAACGGCTTTGGGAATTAATTCAACAAAGTTCATAAACAGGATTGCAGAAAGGATGCAAGTCCGAGTCTGAAAAGTCTGGGGGCTAAATCAGGTCGTTGCGCATAACGCCTTAGCAACCAAGCCACGAGATCAGGCCCTGTTAACTACAGTCGAATGAGAGAGGGGAAGAGAGAATGCCGTTTACGGATTGGGTCTGATTCAAAACGGAAGACGGGTTTTTTTTCTGTCTTGGAGTTCTTGGCTACAGCTCTCTATACCGTCGAATAAAGACTGTAAGTTATGACCTGCCAGGCCAATATGTTGTTCGAAGTAGTAGTAGGGACGGCATGGCCGATGAAGACAAGGAAAATACTGTGCGCTCCTTTGACCGGCAGACAAGAACGTCGATTATTACCAGTGAGCACCTAGAACAACTGTATAAAGAGTCAATACCCAACCGAGCAACTAGATGGAACTGAAGGTGCGATGGGAATCAGAGTTCATAAATGCTGACAAAATCGGGTATGGAATGGCAAATATCACATTTAATGTGAGTGAAAAGCAGCCAGCTCTAAAATGTGTGACAGCACGTGTCATAAGGAAGTTAGGAACTCAAAGACGTCGCCAGTGCATAAATATTCCAGTTTTGATATCAAAACGATGGTGAGAGGGGCAAAGTAAGATTTGATTGCACGGCGGACTTGTCCTCGACCTGAGTGTTGGGAGGTGGGGAAGGAAGGTAGTTTTCGGGCGGATGGAGATTGATTCCGCATGAAACTTTCCATGTTCTAATGGTTTACGAGTTTCCGATTTGTCTATAGCGCTTAATTTGAATGTTTTAATCACTAATAACGGTTAACGACATTCACATTTTTGATTGCTCTGAGATAGTAAATAATCAAATAATTAAATGCTGTGGTTGCTTCCTCCATCATTAGTGCTGTCCAAAATAAATAGCACAACAAAGGCGCAACTCCAAAACGAAAGAGGATTCACACATATTATTTTAATAGGTATCTCAAAGCTTGCCTTACCATATATACAGGATGACACCAAGAGACCAGACATCGATAGAGGACGTGTACACTCCACAACCGGCCGTAAGAAGGACCTCAGGAGCCAAATATGTTGGTGTGCCGCAAAATGTCCGGAGCATTGTGTTGCCATCAACGAATTTTGAAAGACCAAAATCCGTTACTTTAATCAAGCAACGGTTGGAAGGCCCAGAAAGAAGTATATTTTCTGGCTGCATAAGAAATTAGGAGAACATTAATAACTGCAGGATAATGAAATAAAATAATTACAAAAACTTCATATTGCGGTATAGTAGCAGAAATAATGCCGAAAAGGCGGTGAGCGAATGATGGACGAAAACATCCCGAACAGGCAATTCGAACAATGATGGAAATTTAAGTATGGGCAAAGACTGAGAGAAAAATATAACACAGATATTGACAAAATTTTGGCATCAAAAATACCTTCAAGTCCCGATGAGTAATTCCATTGTCATGAAGGTACTAAAACCTTGGTTAATGAGAATCCGGATGTTACCTTGGTGGCTAAAACTATCTGCAGAAAAAGGAACTTCGAATCCTCTTCGCTAAGTTGTCCAAGACTCACGACGCGATCAAAGAGCTCACCATGCTCGACACTAATAGTGGTGGAAGATAGAAAACGGTGGTAAACTTACAGCTCGAGTATCATGTACAAGGCGTCGTCCGTGTCGATGACATCAAAAATGCGCACAATGCAGGGCTGAAATTAAAGGAGGAGTAACCGTTAGCCATTAAATGTGCGTGAGAACAGCCTTTCTGGGAACAAGTTAAGCAGAAAATAATAGAAGCCTAAAGAAACGTTTATAGGATGTTTAGGCACACATACTTTTTTCTTACAAAAAAACGTCTCGTAGCACACAGGTGATTGGAGAAGTTTCGAAGGGATTTGCGCACTCGACCACGTGTAGAGTCACATACAAGTGCTCGTACTACGCAAATCGTGGCACCAATAGCACTAAACACAATTAAAACGCTATTGTGGAATTGCCACATAGGTTAACCTATGCAATTGCATCCGCATACTGCGACTTTAAACCTCAAATCCGCTGGGATGAAATTGCCCTACCAAGCTGTTTTCATATTTGAAACGTACAGAAAATACGGCATTAAGGTAACTTACGTGATTCAGCCGCATCAAAATGGCCACTTCGGACTGAACGCGGTTGACGAGGTTCTAGGATATTAACGGTAGAACATGCTTACATCATTAGTCTTGGCGAGAAAGGAAAATGTCTTCTTTTGTACAATTTTCATAGCATATTTCTGACATGACTCCCTACCAAAAACAAGCCGGACTTCGCCACAGGCACCACTACAAGTCACTTCATTTTTTCGAAGGGTGCACCTACCGGCCTAATCTTCTGCACACAGTATACCTCGAAATGACCTCTGGTGGAAATTCAGTCTGGACTGAAGTTAAGTCGGAGAATATAAAGCCTAAAAGACTATGACAAATATGGTGAGGTTACATTTAAGAGATTTTATCGCCAAAGCAATTTCGTCGTTGTTGTTTAGTGGTTGTTTTCTGCCCTTACCTACAACAGTAGTGAAATAAATCAACCATACCAATTTTTACTTCGTTCAGAAAAGTGCCATTGCTACTCAAATCATGAATGAAAACAAGCAATCCTTGTGAGGTCGATTCCTTGGGAAATAAACAAAAGGTAAGATTATTACCCTTGTGATTCGAAAATGCAACTTGCTAAAGGCTGAGAATGGTGCAGACTTGTCGAACATGTTATGGGAGAATTTGAAGTCGCAACTATCTTCTCTTCCAAATGTATAGGAATCCTTCACCAAATCTGGAGAATAAAGTTTGTCAACAAAGAATTACCCAAGGCGGGGATAGACCCCTTAAGAGGAAGCAAACGCGCCCATGGTTTTTCTTTGACGACAGATTCTTCCTCAGGCACCTGGCACTCTGCGATATCTTGCGTTGGAAGCAAGTCACACATGGCCCGGAGCGATAAACGGCCTTTCCGACACACGAGCGAAATTTCTATAGGGTCGCTGCCGCCGTAGCCGTCTCCTATTGGTAATTGACGCCTGTTCGGTGATTTGTTATACTGCCCCAGCAGTAACTTGGACTGTTTGGCTCATAGCCAAGGCTCGGACGGTTTTAATTTCAAATCAGTATATTCATATAAACTTTCAGCGATGAATCTGAGTCCAAATTTTTTTCTAAACGGCGAAAAATTAGGGTTATGGTTGGGGTTAGGGCTATGGAAGGATAAAGTGTTAAGGCTAGTGTTGTGGTAGGGGGTTTGTGTTAATACTAGGGCTATGTCTAGGCTAAAATTGCAAAAAGCAATAGGGCTGGAATTATTTATTAGGTTAAAGTAGCGGTTAGAATTGCAAATAGGGGAGGACGACGAGGTTGGTCGGCCACTCTGCTGACGAGAACTTGGATGACAAGGACTATAAGGAGTGCTGAAGTGCAATCTATATCGTCATACGAATGGCTTTCTATAGTCTCTTTAGTTCTTTGTGCAGTTTCCTTACTAGTTTTTTCTCTATTGTTTTGCTTTGCTACTGCCAACTTCTCTGTCTTGGTGATTTGGTCGTTGCCAGTTTACATTTGGTTTTGTTGGCTATCCGCGGGATGTTGATGGGTGTAACGCTCCTGATCTGATGAGGGCGAACCCGCAAGAAAAATTGCGAGTGATGGAAAAAAGCCACATGCGTACGCGTTTCAAAGCGATTAAGACTGATTAGTTGGGAGAGGAACATATAAGGTGATGCAGTACAGATTTTGATCACTGCGCGAAAACTACGATGGCGTCTGCTCCCACTGCTGATTTAAAGTTTCGTGCGAGTTTTCTCGGTCGGTATTTCCAGTCAGTGATAGGCCTGGAAGATTCAAATATGCAATAGAAAACCTCATTTATGTTATAACAGCCCCCTGTTTTGAATTAGCCACTAAGTCCACTGCTATCACACTTCTCCCATAGCGACGATTTTCGCCGTTCTTTATGTCATCTCCTCATTTCGACCTCATGCGGTCTGTCGACGCTCACGGCGGAATCCGCTGTATTCGTCTTATACTAGTAGTTTGGTCGTACCTTCCTCTCCCACTCCGCGGCTGGGCTCAAAGCGGACTGTGACCCATCGCGTCTGTGTTCCTCTCACCCGGCGTATCAATTCTGCCCTGACGACATCCGTTTTACATCCCTTATACGTTACTACATGCAGGCCAGTCCTGTCTGACCCGCATACGTACCCCTCAAGGCTGACATTTATTTTTGCCTTGACGATGTCCGGTCATAATACACTATACGCCGCCACATGCAAGACAGTCCTGCTCGCAGTTTTGTCTCATTACGATCGATAGTTTTTCCCCTGCAAATTTAATCCATTCGTTTTTTCATTCTTGACTGGAGTTTTTTCACTGCTTGCTCATCATTTTCCTTGACGGACTACTGATTCAGAAACTATGAATTGAATTTTGTACAGATTCTGCCAACCTCGTCTAAAATTCAAATGAAAGTTTATTTTTACTTGCTTTGAATGGACCCTGACGGGTCTTTCATAAAAATAATATATTTATTTATTAATCTGGTAGGGTTTGGCTCATGTAAATCTTAAGCTAGTTTAATTTAGGTAGTGGACATTGCGCACTGGTACATAAACATTTTAGTTTACTTTAAGGTAAGAGTATTCCATACTGACAGCACAGGCAGTAGCCAAAAACCCATACAACCTTGTTTCGCCGATATTCCGCCGCTGCATGACACAGCTGCTAGGGTTTCGGCTTGTCAGTGGGTCCCCAGCATTATTTGTCTTCTTTCTGGTAGATACTCCAATTTAGAAATTTTTGTTTTTCAATTTCCTTAGAAATTAACTTCGAACTTAGAGTAATGGCAGAATATCGGCGAAACGCGTGTGTATGGGCTTTTGACTACTATCTGTGCTACTAGAATGGATTCACCTTATCTCAAAACCTACTACTAGCTGCCTGTCGATAGTAAATACATATTATGCGGTTGTCCGCTCTGGCTGTGGCGTCGATCCGTATGGAAGTCAGTGCACTTTGTTCCGGGCAAGATCCGACACATCCCCTTTGTATGGGGCTTACACACCCAATATACTTTGGGGTGCTCCTGTTTGTGGCGATGGCCGAGGGGTTCAGGCGCTCGACTCGAGAGGTGGCGGTTGGGGGATCAATCCCCGTACTGCGGATAATTTTTCGTTCCGCGGGATTGTTGGATCGTGCACTTCTACATTTTCCATGCCCATGCGTCAGAGTTGACGATATAATTATCATCAAAAAGTTGACAACCAGAGGCAGACACGATCAAAATAAGGTCTTAGGCGTTCAGATGTCCGATAAACCCCAGGCAACGGAAATTCAAGCAATTTCTTCGACGCTTCTGGTAGCGGAAGTCTTAGCGTTGGCTACGAGACTTCTGTCAGCAGTAATTTAAACTAGTGCTTTGATACAAGGGTGCAAGTAATGCCTAGGATTTGAAATGATCGGAAGTACTGTCATTCTTCTTTGCCCGTGATTCGAACCGAAAGGGAGAGAACGTATGGAAAAGGAATTGTTCCGGAGTGAAAGCACTACTGATTAAAATAGAATGGAGCCCTGTGCATAAATCTGACCCAAACGCTGCCTGGGCTTTCTTTAAGAACGTGATGTGTTACTTGATAGAATACAGTTGTTCGCTCAAAATGAGATCGTGCGTCTCCAGACCAGGATGGGGGACATCAAAAATTTAAGGAACCTCGAAAACGGAGGATTTTGAAGAAGTACGCCAGATGTCAACAGTCCGAACATCTCTCTGGATTTGAGAAACAGCAAAATAGGTGTCAGAGTCTCATAAGAAAGGAGCAGCATTTGAGTAAAAATTAGTTGAAGTAATGCCGAAGAATCTAAAGAATTTCCTTTTGTACGTGAACAGGGCAAAACGTAATTGAGACTCCATTCCATGTCTCAAGAATTATCAGGGAAGTAAGTTAACCGATACCTCTGATAGGAAGAATATCTTATTCGATTTCAGCATTTCCGTTTATACTGAGGATCCACCTTTTGGTAGGAAAGTACACCGGATATTGCCCCACTTGGAAATACAACTAAGACAGTGACAATCACAACGGATGCAGTAAGGAAAACTCTGAAACGGCTGCAGTCACCCAAATCGCCTGGTCCGGATGGTTTTCCCGCAAACATTCTCCATGAAATCGCAGACAAATCGATCGCCCCCCTTTCCAAGATCTTCGAAAGTTCCATAAAAGCAGGAGTTTTGCCTACCGACTGGAAGCTAGTCAGTATCAGCCTCGTATATAAAGGGGAGAGAGAACCTCCTCAAATGGCTTCGAACCAGCGAATCTCACAAGCATTTGTCGCCAAATAATGGAGAAAATAGTGAAAAGGAAGCTGATGAGATATATTGAGGAGATCAGCTTGCTAAGTGAGCATCAACATGAATTTAAAGGTGATTCATCCTGTCTCACTAACCTACTCACATCAATTAAAGTTGGGCGAAGTCCCCAGAGATGAGTTCGCTAGTAGATGCAGCCTACATTGACTTCAAAAAAGCCTTCGGCAGGGTGCCAAACAGACGGCTCATACCTAAACTGCGCCATATGGCTGTGTCTGGTAACCTATTCAAACGCCTGGTCGATTTCTTCCCAGACCGACGTCAGCGTGTGTGTATTGGTGACGCCGAATCAGGGTGGGAAACCGTTCGCAGTGGTGTCCCTCAGGGTTGCGTCCTAGGTCCAATTTTGTTCTTGATATATGTAAGTAATTGCCTAGGTTGTCTGACCTGCGGGAAAGTAATGTTCGCTGATGATATGATAATGTGGACTTCGATTAAAAAACCAGAGGACGCGCGAAAATTGCAAAACAACTTTAACCGATTGCAACAGCGGTGTGGTAATTGGCTTCCCAACCTCAATTATAACAAATGTCAACTCATAAGACTAAGGTCTAGTTGCGGAAAAGATTTGGGATTTAAATATTACTATTTCCTTGGCAGCCACGAACTCAAACTTCTAAGCGGGGCAAAGGGCTTTAATGTGTGGAGGACATCCACTCTCAAGCTCCCGTCTCGCTGCGCTAAGATAGTTTAGAAAACTATGGGCATCCTGGGAGCGATCGGGAGATTCTTCCTTAACTTCGACGAAGAGCTTTTCGGTCAGCAGTTTGGAACATTTATCCGGTCGATTTTGGAATATAGCTCTAAGATATGGCGCACCTGGATGAAGCAAGATTGCCATCTCTCGGAGAAGGTGCAACGAAGAGCGACTAAAATAATTGGTGGGCTGAAGAGCCCCCCTTTAGAGGGACGACCAGGAAGGCTCAAACTTTTTCTTAGCTCTTATAGGCAATACCGAGGGGACATTATCATTGTCCTAAAACTCGTCAGAGGAGTAGACAATGTACTTGAATTATCCGGTTTTTTGAGCTAACATAAACGTTAAATCTCCGAGTCCACCGCTATTGATTGAAGACAAAGTACGCCAAATTCAAATTACGGGCCAACTTATTCTCTTATCTGATGATTGTAAATTAGAAAGTATTACTTAATTGGGCTGTTTTGGTGGAAAGTGTTCAGATATTTTAACAAAGACTTAATGACATTTTATATGATGGCCACGTATTTACTTGATAAGAACCGACGAACTGTACCCGTATATCTACGTAAAAATGTGTACATTTCTTTTTTAGTCTGTCTGTAAATATGGTTTTCAAATATTCTGCTTATCTCCCTTATATATACCGAATTATAAGTTGTTCCAGGCGTCGCGTTTGCAAGAAGATCGATCTCCCTTTGTCCGCATGCAGAAACTTGTAGTGGTCGAAGACCATGCTCTTCTACTGTCGCCCAATGGCCTTTCGGAGAAAGAACACAATAAAGGAACTGCGCAAAAACTGAGAGAACAGACAGTGGTATGTATATAACGTCCAAGCCTTCGCACACGCCATTCCTACAAATCATGATTGATGTTA